TATATATATATATATATATATATATATATATATATATATAGCTTTATAGCTATAACACATATATAACATATCTAACATTGCCCTGCCTAGCTATGATCCAAATAGTGCCTGCCAACTTAGGTGCCCATCAGCAAGGTGTGAGAGTGTATTTTTCTCTATATTTGCCCAGGATACAGATACTATTCCTTTGTGAATATTAGTAGCTTGATTTCATTATCTTATGCACAAACGCCGCCACACTTATTTGTACGTCTGTGTACGTCTGATTGTATATCTATAATCACTCTTACAGAATGTATTTTATCTCATGAACATGTCAGTCTGTTATACCGAGTGAGTTTGTAAACAGATAATTCTGATATGTCTGCTCTTAAATATACTTACCTTGACTTCCCAGGTGCCTGTAGGAACATCACCCACAGCCAGTGTCAGATGCTGCCCTACCAAACCACGCTAACACCTCTCTTCTCGATTGTCAAAAACACGGAAGTGGAGAAGTTCCTCAAGTTCTTCATGTACCTCCATCGCCTCAGCTGCTACCAACATATCATGCTTTTTGGCTGTAGCCTCGCCTTCCCCGAGTGCGTCGGTGATGCTGATGACAGGTATTTTGGAATCAAAATCATTCCGTGATAAGAGTCGGTTGTAACAGAGGTGTCTGAGAGGAATGAAATTATCCCGAGCTACCACCGTTTATTTTTGTTAAAGGAGAAAATATCCCATACCCATCACAGCCACTTGTAATTCTTTGAAACTGAGATTTTTTTGTGAAAACTTGGAATACTTTTATTTCTGGAGAGAAATTATCCCGGATGTGAGATTGAGGCAATCAGCTGGGATACTGAGGAGCTGTTTCCGTGAGGGTCTGGCAGAAGACAGCACACTCAAAGGGGTGACTGAAAAGAGTTTATTGAAGAGAAGATTTATAGAGGTATGGACAGGTTAAGAGACCAAATGATGGGAGGCATCAGGGTCTCATGATAGGGGATGCAGTTCCACCACCCAAGACGTGGAGGGGGAAAAAGGGCGGACAGCGACTGGAGAGAGTTTTAGCTATGGGCAAGGGGTCTTCCAACCAGCCAAGTCCTGCGACCCTATGCAGAGGAGCAGAGCCACCAGCAGCCAGCCTGTCAGCCCTGCAGGAGAGAGGAGAAAGAAATACTCTGACCTCACTCTACTCCTGCCCTCCCATCTGCCGGGGCCTCCCACCATCCAAACTCACCCACAGCCATTGGGCAAGGGCGTGTTGTTGATGTGACCACAATAGATGAGATCTAAAATCTCATCCATATATTATTGGGTCCAAAGTCCCAAATCTCATCCTCTGAAACAGGCATAGGTGAGAGGCTGGGTGGTTCTTATGGTCAACACTAGAGCCCAGAGCAGGGTGAGGAGGGTGAAGGGTAGATGCACAGGGACAAACAGAGAATGTCTAGTACAATATCAAATAAGATTAGAAAGAATTTTCTTATTTTGGGTGGGGGAAAGAACATTTGAGTGAGTGTGCTTGTGGATGTATCTTGTAAGCTCATTTTTTTTTTTTTTGAGATAAAGTTGACATATAGCATTATATTGGTTTCAGGTGTACCACATAATGATTCAATATTTGAATATATTGCCAAATGATCACCACGATAAGTCTAGTTAACATCCATCACCACACATAGTTATAAATTTTCTTTTTCTTATAATGAGAACTTTTAAAATCAACTCTCTTAGCAACTTTTAAATACACAATACAATATAGTCACCATGTTGTATATTACATCTCCATGAATTATTTAGTTTATAACTGGAAGTTTGTACTTTTTGACCATCATCACCTTATTGAAATAACATAATTTCAATATTACATTATTATATTGAAATAATTTTCAGTAAGAGTAAATCAATGAAAAGTGTGTTACGGGATTTTTTAAGTTTACTAAGTATACATTTTTAAAATTTTTGCAAAGCATGTGTTAAATACATAATCACATAAAACATCAATTATTTTCTGAATTAAAATGTTAGGGAGTTTTCAGAATAATAATGTTAGAATGAAATTCATTTTCAAGTGCAGGTAGGGTCCATGTTATTTGTACTAATTTAGTTAGTGTATAAAATATGTTTTGAACAGAAGGAAGGCATTCATTGTTTTGATTGGGGAAAGCCTACATTGCCACAGAATAAAATCTGCATAGAAGAGAAATAGTAGATTGTTTATTGTAGAAGTAAGTAAAGAACTATGAGCAGATATTGCTTTTAGGAGAACATTTCACTAGAAAGAATCATATGCAGAGCATGCTTTCATGGTAACAAGAGAGAAACAGTGGCGGTATAACATGGTGGTTGTAATATTTTTCTAGAGCTGCTGTAACAAATTACTACAAGTTGGGTGGCTTAAACAGACCTTTGTTCTCTCACAGTTCTAGAAACTAGAGATGTAAAATCTGACAAGGCCATGCTCCCTGTGGGGGTTGTGAGGGGGTAGAAATCATTTTCTCCTTTCACCTGCTTCTGGTGGTTTCAGGCTTTCCTTGACCTATGGCCACGTCACCCCACGCTCTCCCTCCATCCTCACATAGCTTTCTCTGTGTGTCTCTCGCTCTCGTGAGGACACTTGTCATTGGTCTAGGTAGCCCAAGATGATCTCATCATCTCAAGGTTCTTGACTTAATTATGCCCACAAAGACCTTTTTTTTTCCAAATAAGGTAACATTCACAGATTCCAGAAGTTAGGACATGGACACATCATTTTGGGGCCCTCCATTCAACACACGACAGTGGCTAAGAAAGCAGGCTATGGGGCCACGTGCCTCATCCTTCTCACCTGTAAAATGGAGATAATAGCTGAACCTCCTTTGCAAAGTTCACATGAGGATCAAATGACAGAGGGTGCCCTGGCTTTTATGAAGAGCTCAAGAAATGTTAGCAACGGCTATCAAATCAATGGGTTGAGAAGGTGAGGTAGTACTAATGAAATTAAGAGCATAAAGAGTATTTCTAACATATATTAAGTATTGAAGGATTGCAAAAAAAGAATGTGGAATACATATGGATTAAAAGAAAATTAGGTCGAATACTCAAGGCTGTTGGAGTTGGATTCTTGTTCCACTTCTTAATTTCAAACATTTTCACTTACCACTCTTTTCTTGAATTTCTCTATGGAGTCATATGGGTGCATAAATAAAACAATGAAAGAAAGCTTCCTGGGGACTCTGAATTCATTTTGGTCTTCCTTCTTAATATAACTCAATCTCCACTCTCACTTAAACCAGTTGTAAAATTCCGGTTAAGCTCCTCATAGTCTTCAGGGCACTTTTAGGTAAAATTTGTTTTTCTCCTGACCTGGTTCATCCTGAAAAAATGCTCTCCTGTAAGTGTTTTCCATTTTCTGTTATAATGGATAATAATTTATAGTCACTTTTCAGGTATGCTTTGGGGACTTATCCTATTTTTTATTATTATATTTAATTTTATAATTATACTTCCAGACCAGTGCTTCCTGCTGTCATTTAGTGTGTGCATGGAAACCAGAAGCTAAATTTAATAAGCAAAGTAAGTTCATAAAGGTAAAATGTATTGTAGAAAATAGTGTAAATACAGTTTTCTTGTATTTCATTATTTTCGATCATCCATTATACTAATTTTCTCTAACTATTCAAATAATGGAGAATTGCTTATATTCCATCCTAGACAAAATAGCTAATGTGTAAATTTTAGTTTAAAAAGATTAGTGGGGTATATAAATAGTGTGGTTTTTAACCTGCCCCTTTGAGACCTCAAATGCTCATTAACTACATTTTATAACAATAAACGTTAACAGTTTTTATTTAGACGAGGGTTGCTATTAATAAATACGTATATCATATACTATAACACAGGCTAACTGAAGTGGTACATAATTTATATGGATTCAATGAAATTTATCTCAAACTATAGAGATCTCATTGATAAGTCATTTGGATAGCCTTAAAAATATATGTGTTAGCAGGAGTAGCTTAAAAATATCAGCAAGTAGCTGGAGAGAAATCCACAATTCCTGGGCCAGGAGAGTAACAGTTGTTTCTGGATGGCTTTTTGACACACCAGATACAATTAAGGTCTCTGGAAGAGAAAACAGGTATTGCAAACACATGCTTTTGATGTATAATTGTCACTCATACCCAAGTTGTTTAAATAATGGGCCTATAATATTGTCAAAACTGAAGGGGGGTCAGTTTGGCTTGGAAGGTCCAGTTTTGCTTCTAGAAGACACCCAGGAGACCTGCTAATGTGGGGTGACCGTCACCCCACTCACATCTTCTGATACTTTGCAGAGAAACTCTGTGCTCATGAGATGAGTCCTTAACATTAAAAACTTGACATGTTTGCTATTAATTTTTTTTTCCCTCTGGACTATAGATTTGTCACTAGGTCCTTTGCAGAAATTCTTAATAGCTGTGGAAATGAAATGAAAATTCTTCATTTAGCCAGATTACTTGAGATTCAAGATTATATTTCAAACCTAGGAACTACAGGACCAGTTTTCTGTTAATGTACTTAATCCCTGTAGGATTGTGATAGGAATCAAACGTGTTTCTTCAAATGAGCTTCTTAAAAAATGCTCTGCTTTTTCCCAAATAAGTATGTTGACTGGAAATTAGAAAATTTAATCTGGCAACTACAGAGAAAGCACTTGAGGGGCTCCTGGGTGGCTCAGTCGGTTAAGGGTTTGCCTTCGGCTCAGGGCATGGTCCGGGTGTCCTGGGATCGAGCCCTATGTCGGGCTCCTTGCTCAGTGGAGAGTCTGCTTGTTGTTCTCCCTTTGCCCCTCGTGCTCTCTTTCTCTCTCTCTCAATCTCTCTCAAATAAATAAAATCTTAAAAAAAAAAAAAGCACTTGAAAGTTTGGGGGCAGATGAAACCTAATTCTGCCAATTGCCAGTTATAAGACCTTGGGCATTTTAGTTAGCCTTCTGACCCGCAGTTTACTCATCTCTATAATGAGAGCCTTCATAAGCTGCATTTGTGTGTGTTAAACAGAATGATTTATATAAAGTACCCATACATGGCCTACACTATATGGCACAGAGTAACTTCTCCATGAACAGTAACTTACTATTATTGACAGAGTAGTCAATGATGATAAGTGAATTTTCTGGGAGGGTATAAACTTCATCACTTCTTTCAGAGATGCAAGATTTGCATTTTTTTCCCCATTCTTCCCACCTTCTAAACCTGATTAGTAATGTTGAGCATCATTTCATGCTCTGTATGTCTTCTTTGGAAAAATACCTATTCAGGTCCTCTGCCCATTTTTTAATTGGGTTTTTTTTGGTGTTGCGTTGTATAAGTTTTTTATATATTTTGGATATTAACCCCTTATCAGATACATCATTTTCAAATATCTTCTCCCATTCAGTAAGTTGCCTTTTTGTTTTGTTGATAGTTTTTTTCACTGTGCAAAAGCTTTTTATTTTGGTGTAGTCCCAATAGTTTCGTTTTGCTTTTGTTTTCCTTGCTAGAGGAGACATATCAAGGAAAATGTTTCTATGGCTAGTATCAAAGAGATTACTGCCTGTATTTACTTCTAGGAATTTTATGGTTTCAGGTTTCATATTTAGGTCTTTAATCCAGTTTAT